TTAATCTCAGTCTACCCAGTGTGAGTATGGTTATCAGGGAATGGTGTCTTAATCTCAGTCTACGCAGTGTAAGTATGGTTATCAGGGAATGGTGTCTTAATCTCAGTCTACCCAGTGTAGGTATGGTTATCAGGGAATGGTGTCTTAATCTCAGTCTACACAGTGTAAGTATGTTTATCAGGGAATAGTGTCTTAATCTCAGTCTACCCAGTGTAAGTATGTTTATCAGGGAATGGTGTCTTAATCTCAGTCTACCCAGTGTAAGTATGTTTATCAGGGAATAGTGTCTTAATCTCAGTCTACACAGTGTAAGTATGTTTATCAGGGAATGGTGTCTTAATCTCAGTCTACCCAGTGTAAGTATGTTTATCAGGGAATAGTGTCTTAATCTCAGTCTACCCAGTGTGAGTATGGTTATCAGGGAATGGTGTCTTAATCTCAGTCTACCCAGTGTGTGTATGGTTATCAGGGAATAGTGTCTTAATATCAGTCTACCCAGTGTGTATATGGTTATCAGGGAATGGTGTCTTAATATCAGTCTACCCAGTGTAAGTATGGTTATCAGAGAATGATGTCTTAATCTCAGTCTACGCAGTGTGAGTATGGTTATCAGAGAATGGTGTCTCAATCTCAGTCTACCCAGTGTGTGTATGGTTATCAGGGAATAGTGTCTTAATCTCAGTCTACCCAGTGTGAGTATGGTTATCAGGGAATGGTGTCTTAATCTCAGTCTACCCAGTGTGTGTATGGTTATCAGGGAATAGTGTCTTAATATCAGTCTACCCAGTGTGTATATGGTTATCAGGGAATGGTGTCTTAATATCAGTCTACCCAGTGTGTGTATGGTTATCAGGGAATAGTGTCTTAATCTCAGTCTACGCAGTGTGAGTATGGTTATCAGGGAATAGTGTCTTAATCTCAGTCTACCCAGTTTGTGTATATGGTTATCAGGGAATGGTGTCTTAATCTCAGTCTATGCAGTGTAAGTATGGTTATCAGGGAATAGTGTCTTAATCTCAGTCTACCCAGTGTGTGTATGGTTATCAGGGAATAGTGTCTTAATCTCAGTCTACGCAGTGTAAGTATGGTTATCAGGGAATAGTGTCTTAATCTCAGTCTACGCAGTGTGAGTATGGTTATCAGGGAATAGTGTCTTTATCTCAGTCTACGCAGTGTGAGTATGGTTATCAGGGAATAGTGTCTTAATCTCAGTCTACCCAGTGTGAGTATGGTTATCAGGGAATGGTGTCTTAATCTCAGTCTACCCAGTGTGAGTATGGTTATCAGAGAATGATGTCTTAATCTCAGTCTATGCAGTGTGAGTATGGTTATCAGGGAATAGTGTCTTAATCTCAGTCTACGCAGTGTGAGTATGGTTATCAGGGAATAGTGTCTTAATCTCAGTCTACGCAGTGTGAGTATGGTTATCAGGGAATGGTGTCTTAATCTCAGTCTACTCAGTGTAAGTATGGTTATCAGGGAATAGTGTCTTAATCTCAGTCTACCCAGTGTGAGTATGGTTATCAGGGAATGGTGTCTTAATCTCAGTCTACCCAGTGTGAGTATGGTTATCAGAGAATGATGTCTTAATCTCAGTCTATGCAGTGTGTGTATGGTTATCAGGGAATGGTGTCTTAATCTCAGTCTACCCAGTGTGTGTATGGTTATCAGGGAATAGTGTCTTAATCTCAGTCTACCCAGTGTGAGTATGGTTATCAGAGAATGATGTCTTAATCTCAGTCTACGCAGTGTGAGTATGGTTATCAGAGAATGGTGTCTTAATCTCAGTCTACCCAGTGTAAGTATGGTTATCAGAGAATGATGTCTTAATCTCAGTCTATGCAGTGTGAGTATGGTTATCAGGGAATGGTGTCTTAATCTCAGTCTACCCAGTGTGAGTATGGTTATCAGGGAATGGTGTGTTGAACCGGATCATTTACAGCACCTCTTGTGTTGGTTCAAGGAACACTTCCCAACCCCTTAAACATAAGCAATAATGCAAGTAAGTAAGGATTTGCTTAAACTGGATAAATGTTGGGTTGAAATATTTAAAAAAATCTGACACAGATTAATAATGTGGAGCAAGTGGGGAAGGAGCTGCAAGGCCTTTTTTGTGTGGCTGTTCTGGCTTTTCTAGGCGAATTTTACATTCAGCAGTTTGCCGCTGCTCTGAACGGTCAGTGCTGGGTACCAGTGTTGAAACCAACTAAAGACAAATCGTCCGCAGCTGGGATCGAACCTGGCATTACAAAGCCCGTTCACATTGCCTAAGCCACAGTTGCAACACATTACAGTAAACACTGAGGGGGAGGGGGGGGGGGGGGGGGGGGGGGGGGGACACATGTATACTATCACAGACTGCAAATATAATTTTACGATTACACAAATGAAAAATATTGCACATTGTGTGAGATTACTGAGACTATTTGTATCCGTATCCATTTTTCTCCCTCCAGGCTGCTACCTTAAGGTCTGATCTCCCTCCAGGCTGCTACCTTGAGGTCTGATCTTCCTCCAGGCTGCCACCTTAAGGTTTGATCTCCCTCCAGGCTGCTACCTTAAGGTCTGATCTCCCTCCAGGCTGCTACCTTAAGGTCTGATCTCCCTCCAGGCTGCTACCTTAAGGTCTGATCTCCCACCAGGCTGCTACCTTAAGGTCTGATCTCCCTCCAGGCTGCTACCTTAAGGTCTGATCTCCTCCAGGCTGCTACCTTAAGGTCTGATCTCCCTCCAGGCTGCTACCTCAAAGGTCTGACCACCTGAGATTATCAAATTTCAATCTGGATGGTAGACCTTCAGGGAAAAATCCCAGATACCAAATTCTTCTTCTTATTCTCCTGCGTTCATCCGAAGATGTAATTGCATTGTCCCCCTTTACAGCATGGCTTCAATATTTGTGCCTTTCGGCCGACACATCTGACTTCTGCAGGCATGTGTTGACCAGGTAAGCCTTCCTGGTTAAAGATACCCAATTCAACCTCAAAAGAAGTTAGAACTGGGGCACCAATAAAAGCTACACCGGGCAAGTGTAACCTGTGGCCTAATGAAGGTTACGGGTGAGATTACTGATTTGACTAGGTAAAAACAAAGTCACATTTACATCAAATTTGTTAACTAATAACAACCACAAATCTGGCATTTTCTTTGTTAAAGAAAGTCAGTAATATTATAACTGTTTGAAAGTCATCATTATCACGTGCCTTGCCAACTGGCATGATGTTCACACATCTCTACAGATCTCGGTCCCTGTCCTCTGGATCAATTCCTCTATGACATCCCTCCGTGCCACCGTCGCAATCCATCCGTCATCATCTCTCTCTGCCTACCTTTCACTCTTCTACCATTACCAAAGCCTCCCCTATCACATGACCCCCCAAAAAAAACAGTTCTTGTTTTTTCCTTATAGCTACTGATCTTTTTATTTAATAGCTTCTTTCAAGCAATCCTCGTTAGTTACTCTGGCAGTTCTTGGGATTCTTAACATTCGTCTGAGGAGCCACATCTCCTTCGCCTCCAGGTTCTTTATAATTTGTGCACTCACATTCAATGATTCACTACCATACAGCAATATTGGTTCTACATAGCATTTGAGTACTCTCTTTCGGACATCCAAAGAGAGGGACCTGTTGCACAAGATGTTCTTCATTCTGTGAAATTTTCTATCTCATGTTATGATTGTACCTACACATTTGAAATTATCATCTTTTAACTTCTTACCTTCTATACCAGTGTTTCCTAAACTGTTCTTGGTCGCGGCACCTTTTTTTAATTATAATTTGTCCACAGCGCCCTAACCTAAATAAAAGTATGACCATTCTTGTCTTGGTTAAATTAATTATGAAGCTTTTACAATATTTCATGTCGCCCCTGTGAAGACGCCGCAGCTCTCGGAGTGCCGCGGCACACAATTTGGGAATCACTGTTCTATACTGATATACTGTGGTGGTATTCTTTTCTATGAAATCACCATTACCTCTGTTTTCTTTTTCTTCGTGTTCACCGGCTGTAAACTCTGGCGGAAAGGTCTGGTTTTTCCTCCACTTCTGGACTGCAGTCCTGTTCCAGAACCTGAGTGTTGCGTGTGCATCCGTTTCACAGATCTGACATTTGTATGCAGACTGCTGGTTCCTTCCTCTCAGGCAGATGCACTCTCACTTCGATGGAAGCTCCCAATTAGTCGATTCTTACGACATGCTTTTGGCTAGGCAGTTGGTCTATTCTTTTGTTTCCCCTACAATAGAGCTCCGGAACCCACACAGAGATCTTTATATTCAAGGATATACCTTTTTTTTTTAGTCTCCCTAACTACAATGGTTTGAAAGTACCCTTCAATTATATTGTTCTTGACAATCTATACTCCTACAATCTTATACAATTAACAAATAAGTTATGGAATACTGAATAACCAAAGGTAACTGATAGGAGTAAACAATCGTTATTGAAATAGAAAACAGACAAAACTCAACATATCTCAAATATAACCCGCAAGGGTATAACCCACAAGGGTATAACCCACAGGATACTGTTATTCACCAATAATATGCAGTGATATGAAGAAAGAAAAATGGAGGACGCTTAATTTGTTTTTTCTTTCTGTGACATGTTTTTAAAACAAATTGAAAACACTGGTGTAAAAGAAAATATCTGTGAAAACTTCACAGCAAATGTTAATAAAAGATTTAGGGTAAATGTTAAATAATAACACTCATGCAAACAATATCTCATGTAAAATTGTAAGCACAAAATGACATCATAAATGTGTTTATTTTTTTTACCTTTTGGGTAAATATTAACTAAAACTGTATGGTAAATTTTAACAAAATATCACTGTTAATATTCATTTTAACAATTTCTGATAAATGTTAACCCAAAAACAAAACACAAAAAAAAAGCTTTCTGGTAAATATTAACCAAAAACTTCTATGTAAATATTCACAAAAATGTTAACAAAGTGTATGGCACATGTTAATGTGTAAAAAATATAGAAAAAGATTGCACAATTACTTCACGTCTGCTTTTCTCCTCTGTCTTACACCTGATTCCAGACATTCCGTCTGCTCACTGGCATCTTCATTGCTGTTCTCAATATCTTCATTTGGACTGGTTACCTCTGCTTCCTCTTCTTCGCTTACACATTCAATATCATCCTCGCTGTCTTTATCGATATCATCAAAATCCACTTCTTTACATAATCTGCTAGTTTGGCTGCGTGGTTTAACACATTCAGAGTTCGATTCAATAGCCCCTTGTTTCTGAATATTCGTTTGGCCTTCTTTTCTGCTGATTTTATTATTTCTTTCTTCTTTATCCTTAGCTTCAACTACCTCTCCCTGTCTGTCAACTAACTCGTAACTTTCCACGTCTGGACTCAGGTCGTTCAGTTGTGTCTGAAAATAAACAAGAAAGACAACATAAATATTTTTGGAAGGTTTTTCTTTTGGTCTGTGTAGTTCCAATCTTTCCAGAATTGCAGTCTACAGGATTACCATCTAAAGGATGATAATAAAACACACACATATTCCTGAAACCCTATTGAACCATACAGTTGTTATAATGGAACACCATACAACGGTTACAAAGCAGCCTGTAGCCCAGTCTTCTCCTTCTTCGCTCTAACCAGCTGAAAACTTTGGAAGAAAGTTCTGGTTGTTTGTCCACTTCTGGAGTCTGGGTTTAGGTTTGGACGACGGATCAACATCCTGGCACAAGGGGTAACCCATGCGTGCTCCGCTCTACTTCTGACTAAAGCCTGAGCCCGAAGAATTTAAGTACAGTGCACAAACTCCTTAGCACCGGCAAGGATCCTAAAATACTTTGGGTCGATTTTAACTCAAATTTTTGCCCAGGTAGTGCCGTTAGGCTACTCTTTTTGATTTTGAACTGCTCGGGGATTTTTTACGTGTGCAACAATACACACAGGGTGTCCAATCTATGACCTCCTGTATTTATTAGCACTTTTTAGTGTTTATTCAGATAAACTGATAACGATTTTAGAAGTACTCCAAAGTGTACTTAGAGAACATCAGTCTTCAATCAGATAAACTGGTAATGGCAGTGATAATATTGATGCTTTGGAACCTGTCTTTATTCAGATAAAATGATTATAATGATGATTTTAGATGTACTCTAAAGTTTACCTACAGAATATCAGCCATCATTTACATAAACTGACGATAATGATGATGATGATATTAGATTCTTCTTATTCTTCTGCATTCACCCTGAAAGGGTAGTTGGTATGGTTTGTAGTTTACAGCTAGGCAGCAATATCTGAGTCTTTCGACCCAAGACATCTGATTTCAGCAAACACTTTACTAGTGACATTTTATACTATTCCTGTTGAGTAGCAAATGGGTCTATTTTTTTTCTCAGATCTCTCAAAAACACAGCCGGAACACACACTGGGAAAATCTTTTTATCTTTGGCATTCACTGGCTGTAAACTCCGGTGGAAAGTTCTGGTTGTTTGTCCACATGTGGACTTTTGTCTTATTCCAGAACCTCAGTGTTGCGTGCACATCCGTTCAACCGATCTGACTAAATTGTATGCAGATTGCTGGTTCCTTACCTCCCAGGCAGATGCACCCCAACATTAAAGGAAGCCCCCAAATAGTCGACTCTTTTAACATGCTTATTGTTTTCCCCATAATGGGGCCCTGGAACCCACTCAGGGCCCCGGAACCAACCCAGGGAACACTGGGAAAATGACTTTGGCTGCCACCTGACATGACTGTAGATGTACCCTAAAGGTTACCTGGTGTTGCTCCTCTTGCTCCGGGGCACCCATGTGATCCACATTTGTCTGGACCATCTGCATGGCCTGGAGAATCCTGGACATCTGGGCCTCGGTCTCTTCCAGACGCTTCTGCAGAAGTTTCATTTCACTCAGTGCTGAAACAGTATTCAATAAGTGTCATTTCACTCAGTGCTGAAACAGTATTCAATAAGTGTCATTTCATCAGGTTCTGAAACAGTATTCAATCTTATATGTCTCACTTCCCTCAATGCTGAAACCATATTCAATCATAAGTGTCATTTCATTAAGTTCCGAAACAGTATTTAATACAATAAGTTTCATTTCAGTGCTGAAAAGGCATGACAAGCAACTGTCATTTTTAGCACTGAAAAATGAGTCATAAATCAGTGTCAGTTCACTAAGTATCAAAAAGGAGTACTATAAATGTGTTAATTCATTAAGTGATTTGAATTAGTGTTAAGGAAGTGCTATTTCCTTAAGTGGTTAGAGTGAGTGTTAAACAAGTGCTACTTCCCCAAGTGGTTAAAGTGAGTGTTAAAGTGTTATTTCCCTAAGTGGTGAGAGTGAGTGTTAAACAAGTGCTGCTTCCCTAAGTGGTTAAAGTGAGTGTTAAACAAGTGTTACTTCCCTAAGTAGTTAAAGTGAGTGTTAAACAAGTATTACTTCCCTAAGTGGTTAAAGTGAGTGTTAAACAAGTGTTACTTCCCTAAGTGGTTAAAGTGAGTGTTAAACAAGTGTTACTTCCCTAAGTGGTTAAAGTGAGTGTTAAACAAGTGTTACTTCCCTAAGTGGTTAAAGTGAGTGTTAAACAAGTGCTACTTCCCTGAGTGGTTAAAGTGAGTGTTAAACAAGTGCTACTTCCCTAAGTGGTTAAAGTGAGTGTTGTTAAGTGCTACTTCCCTAAGGGGTTAAAGTGAGTGTTAAACAAGTGTTACTTCCCTAAATGGTTAAAGTGAGTGTTAAACAAGTGCTACTTCCCTGAGTGGTTAAAGTGAGTGTTAAACAAGTGCTACTTCCCTAAGTGGTTAAAGTGAGTGTTGTTAAGTGCTACTTCCCTAAGGGGTTAAAGTGAGTGTTAAACAAGTGCTACTTCCCTAAGTGGTTAAAGTGAGTGTTAAACATGTGCTACTTCCCTAAATGGTTAAAGTGAGTGTTGTTAAGTGCTACTTCCCTAACTGGTTAAAGTGAGTGTTAAACAAGTGCTACTTCCCTAAGTGGTTAAAGTGAGTGTTGTTAAGTGCTACTTCCCTAAGTGGTTAAAGTGAGTGTTGTTAAGTGCTACTTCCCTAAGGGGTTAAAGTGAGTGTTAAACAAGTGCTACTTCCCTAAGTGGTTAAAGTGAGTGTTAAACAAGTGCTACTTCCCTAAATGGTTAAAGTGAGTGTTGTTAAGTGCTACTTCCCTAACTGGTTAAAGTGAGTGTTAAACAAGTGCTACTTCCCTAAGTGGTTAAAGTGTTGTTAAGTGCTACTTCCCTAAGTGGTTAAAGTGAGTGTTAAACAAGTGCTACTTCCCTAAGTGGTTAAAGTGAGTGTTAAACAAGTGCTATTTCCCTAAGTTGTTAAAATGAGTGTTAAATAATTGCCATTTCCCTAAATTGTTAAAATGAGTGTTAAATAATTGCCATTTCCCTAAGTTGTTAAAATGAGTGTTAAACAAATACTATTTCACTAAGTGGTTTAAAAGAATGATAAACAAATGTCATATTTTCATTGACAACATGGAGACAAACAAACAAATGTCATATTTTCATTGACAAAAAGGAGAGAAACAAACAAATGTCATATTTTCATTGACAACAAGGAGACAAACAAACAAATGTCATTTTTTCATTGACAACAAGGAGACAAACAAACAAATGTCATTTTTTCATTGACAACAAGAAGACAAAAAAACAAATGTCATATTTTCATTGACAATAAGGAGGCAAACAAACAAATGTCATTTTGAACAAAGAAGACACCAACAACAGACAGCACAATTTACTGCCTGGCATATTTCATCAGGTGCACACTACAGTAACAATGAAACCAACAAATTAATCATTCTAACTGACAAAAGTGACAGCCTGTACAAATCTGGAGGGATGTCACTTATCGTGGTCACTTCAACAAAACACAGCGTTCTGCAACTGGTTGACATATACAGAATTTTTGAATGTGCATTCTTGTTTCCAATGTGGCCAGAGTTAAACAAATTCTGTGCCAGGCAATGCACCCGGTGTGGCTGGATATTATTCATGTGTATCACTCAGTAAGTTATCAAGTTATTCAAGTTTTATATTTCAGGTTAATGATTCTTTTTAAAAAAAAATACAACAGACAAAATATGTCTCCTACAAGGATTGGGTATCTGGCCCTGCGGAAATAGTATACCCATGAGTTTAGTGTTGCTATTCTTGCTCTTCTGGATATTAACTAGGACCTTCATGGACTCAAATAGTTAAAAAGGTAAACAAGGACGACACATTTCAATGTCTATCGATCACAGAATGCTATGCTTTGATGAAGCAGCCACAATAAGTCACTTCCATCTAGATCTACACATCTAGATCTGTATAAACTTGTCAGTCTGATCTCAATTTATCTGAAAAAGACGGCTGCAGATACTTATAAAATCCAACAACAGGAGACCAAACACAATCTTCAAACTTGATCTTTGACATATGACAAGACTCACAAACATTCTTGTTATCCATTCGAGCCAGCAAATCTTCCACACTAGATCTCTGACGTGCCAAGACTTACAAACATTATTGTTATCCATTCGAGCCAGCAAATCTTCCACACTAGATCTCTGACGTGCCAAGACTTACAAACATTATTGTTATCCATTCGAGTCAGCAAATCTTCCACACTAGATCTCTGACGTGCCAAGACTCACAAACATTATTGTTATCCATTCGAGTCAGCAAATCTTCCACACTAGATCTCTGACGTGCCAAGACTCACAAACATTATTGTTATCCATTCGAGCCAGCAAATCTTCCACACTAGATCTCTGACGTGCCAAGACTTACAAACATTATTGTTATCCATTAGAGTCAGTAAATCTTTCCACACTAGATCTCTGACGTGCCAAGACTTACAAACATTATTGTTATCCATTCGAGTCAGTAAATCTTCCACACTAGATCTCTGACGTGCCAAGACTCACAAACATTCTTGTTATCCATTCGAGCCAGCAAATCTTCCACACTAGATTTCTGACGTGCCACGACTTACAAACATTCTTGTTATCCATTCGAGCCAGCAAATCTTCCAGCTGTTGCTTCTGCTGCTGGTCCTGAAGAAAGCTGCGAACATCTCCACCGCTGTCCAAGGTCAGCGGGAAACCCATTCTATCAAGAGAGTTATTGGCCTTGTTTCTGCTGCCAACCTGACCTCGCTCTCGGTTCCAGTTGTTGTTCTTAGATTTATTGAATACCTAGGGAAATAAAGATTGCAGCGATATGATGTAGGAAAACTGCAGGATACACATATCAGGGAAATAAAAATTGCAGCGATATGATGTAGGAAAACTGCAGGATACACATATCAGGGAAATAAAGATTGCAGCGAAATGATGTAGGAAAACTGCAGGATACACATATCAGGGAAATAAATATTGCAGCGAAATGATGTAGGAAAATTGCAGGATACACATATCAGGGAAATAAAGATTGCAGCGAAATGATGTAGGAAAACTGCAGGATACACGTATCAGGGAAATAAAGATTGCAGCGAAATGATGTAGGAAAATTGCAGGATACACATATCAGCGAAATAAAAATTGCAGCGAAATGATGTAGGAAAATTGCAGGATACACATATCAGGGAAATAAAGATTGCAGCGAAATGATGTAGGAAAATTGAAGGATACACATATCAGGGAAATAAAAATTGCAGCGAAATGATGTAGGAAAATTGCAGGATACACATATCAGGGAAATAAAAATTGCAGCGAAATGATGTAGGAAAATTGCAGGATACACATATCAGGGAAATAAAAATTGCAGTGAAATGATGTAGGAAAATTGCAGGATACACATATCAGGGAAATAAAAATTGCAGCGAAATGATGAAGGAAAACTGCAGGATACACATATCTGGGAAATAAAAATTGCAGCGAAATGATGTAGGAAAATTGCAGGATACACATATCAGGGAAATAAAAGCGATGAATAGTAGCATGCATTACTTAGGTTTAGGTTTAGACAACGGATCAAGCCCGAGTCCAAAGAATCTCAGCGCAGCCCACAAACTCTGTAGCCCCATGAGGACCATAAAATACTTTGGGTAGATTTTCAACTCCAAATTTTTGCCCAGACAGCGCCGTTAGACTACTCTTTTCGATTTCCAACTGCCCATGGATTGTTTTAACGTATGCAACAATACACACAGGCGGGCATCCGATCTCACTACCCAGAGACCAGGGAACATTACTAGAAAAAGTCCCAGCCTTTACCGGGGCCTGCACCCTGGACCACCAGCACTCGGGGCGGATGCCATGCCTCGAGACCACGGAGCCGCCCGAACTTTTTGTCTCGTAAATGTTTAAAAGATATCTAAGCCTTGGTGTTTGATGGATTTGAGTGGATAACAAAACTGAAACATTAAAGGACTTTTGAGATTTGGAACATGGAATGTAGACAGACCTACAAACACTTGATGTCACCAACTGGAGGGAGAAAACAAGCCAGAGTTGAGGGGAGGCGGGTGATATCTGCAGCAATAAACCTCAAGGGCTCAGAACATTGAAGAAGAAACAATTTTTTAAAGGCCATAAACCTACAGGAAATTCTGAAAACAATCCATGCAAAAAATATTACACAGATCGCTAATAAATTTTTTTTTATTTACCTATATTTAAAAAATTTCTTTTCTCAAATATATAAAAGTATATAAGGGGGTAATTAATAAACACGATCATAAAGCATTAAATGGAATATATTCCTCAGGGTGGACAAAATGTATCGGGCGACACATTCCATGATCCCGTGAACTCTAAACCTGACGCATACGGAAAATTGTAATTCCAACTAGCTTTCATAAACCTTTGGGGTCATAAAGAATTCTGCCCTAAATGCTCTTTGTAGCTACTATATTCATTTCTGGCCTATTAAACAGCATGCAGGTGCACAGATAACCAGTGGAATTTAACTATGGTTTTCGAGATCAGGTCGCTGCAGATATGGACATATATATGCAGTCAGGGAAAACATCGCACAATCATAAGTAACTACATTTAGGCTTCTCCGGGTCAAAGGCACAAATTAACTGCCATTTACTGCTTGTATGTACTACTTTTGTGGTGCAGGAAGAGAAATGAGGCTGTTGAGCATAAATAATAAGGGCTGCATGGCTAGTGCTGTCACCGCAGACTGTGCAGGTCAGAATTTTATTTGTGCCTCCCAAAGAAAACATCCATTTTACCATGGATGCGAACCTGTGTCTCCCGTATGAGTGCCCAGCATTCTTAACTATTCAGCCCGCAGCTCCTCTATAAAAAAAAAAGTTTCCTTACCTTAAATAATGTGTACAACAGATAGACAATGATGCCGATTGCATACATCGGTAGAACCATGCCAATCATCCCGCGGCCAGAACCTGCCTGTGTCTGTTTCTGCATGTCTGCCGCGGCTCTTAGGCCTGGATGTGGGGCCGACTGAAAAAGTGTCAACAAGAGATAAGGTTACATAAGATGTTAAGAGCTCTTAACTCTTCGAGTCCTAAACAATGTATGGTGTGTGAATCACGCTCTCTTCCTAATCTCATCCTTAGCGTAATATGCTCTCTTACTATTGTATTTGATCAGAGCTTACCCAAAAAATCTGGCTTGTCCAATGGTCATGAGTACTGTCATATGACCACGGTGAAAGTAATTAATTGACAAATTTTAATCACCAATATACCTTCCCTGGCATCTCCATCGAAACTTTTCCTGATATGCAAAGAGTTAACAGCTATATACCGACACGTGTGATGTGTGAAGGTATCACCATGGAATGTGACTCTTAAGTCTCCTAATAGCACAGTGGAAAGACTGAAAGGTGCCAACAAACAAACAAATCTGGAAAAACAGTAGGTGTCAACAAACAAACCTGGAAAAACAGAAGGTGCCAACAAACAAGCAAATCTGGAAAAACAGAAGGTGCCAACAAACAAACTAATCTGGAAAGACAGAAGGTGCCAACAAACAAACAAATCTGGAAAGACAGAAGGTGCCAACAAACAAACAAATCACAAATAAACAAATTTGGAAAAACAGAAAATGCCAACAAACTAACAAATCTGGAAAGACAGAAGGTGCCAACAAACAAACAAATCTGGAAAGACAGAAGGTGCCAACAAACAAATAAATCTGGAAAGACAGAAGGTGCCAACAAACAAACAAATCTGGAAAAACTGAAAATAACAACAAACTAACAAATCTGGAAAGACAGAAGGTGCCAACGAACAAACAAATCTGGAAAGACAGAAGGTGCCAACAAACTAATAAATTTGGAAAAAGAGAAGATGCCAACAAAAAAATCTAGATAGACATCTTGAAGATACCAACCGACAAACAAATCTGGAAAAACACAAGGTGCCAACAAACAAACAAATTTGGAAAGACAGAATGCTGGCAACAAATGTGCAGGCTGACGATAAGTGGTTGTTTAGAGGCATGACAACAGCACTGTGGACTGATAAAGAGTGTCATGGAGATAACGAGAGAAATTAACTCAGAGAGAGAAAACCTCTTTGATACATCTCCCATCTGCTGCTGTTATCAATGTACTCAAATACTTATAACATTAAACTTCTTTAAAACATCTTCCATATGCTGCTGTTATCAATGTATCCAAGTACTTTTAACATTTAACTTCTTTAAAACATCTTCCATATGCTGCTGTTATCAATGTATCCAAGTACTTTTTACATTTAACTTCTTTAAAACATCTTCCATATGCTGCTGTTATCAATGTATTCAAGTACTTTTAACATTTAACTTCTTTAAAACATCTCCCATATGCTGCTGTTATCAATGTATCCAAGTACTTTTAACATTTAACTTTTTTAAAACATCTTCCATATGCTGCTGTTATCAATGTATCCAAGTACTTTAAACATTTAACTTCTTTAAAACATCTCCCATATGCTGCTGTTATCAATGTATCCAAGTACTTTTAACATTTAACTTCTTTAAAATATCTCCCATATGCTAATGTTATCAATGTATCCAAATACTTATAACATTAAACTTCTTTAAAACATCTTCCATATGCTGCTGTTATCAATGTATCCAAGGACTTTTAACATTTAACTTCTTTAAAACATCTTCCATTTGCTGCTGATATCAATGTATCCAAGTACTTTTAACATTTAACTTCTTTAAAACATCTTCCATCTGCTGCTGTTATCAAGGTATCCAAATACTTATAACATTAAACATCTTTAAAACATCTTCCATATGCTGCTGTTATCAATGTATCCAAGTACTTATAACATTTAACTTCTTTAAAACATCCTCCATATGCTGCTGTTATCAATGTATCCAAGTACTTTTAACTTCTTTAAAACATCTCCCATGTGCTGCTGTTATCAATGTATCCAAGTACTTATAACATTTAACTTCTTTAAAACATCTTCCATATGCTGCTGTTATCAAGGTATCCAAGTACTTATAACATTTAACTTCTTTAAAACATCTCCCATCTGCTGCTGTTATCAATGTATCCAAGTACTTTTAACATTTAACTTCTTAAAAACATCTTCCATCTGCTGCTGTTATCAAGGTATCCAAGTACTTATAACATTTAACTTCTTTAAAACATCTTCCATCTGCTGCTGTTATCAAGGTACACAAGTACTTTTAACATTTAACTTCTTTAAAACATCTTTCATCTGCTGCTGTTATCAAGGTATCCAAGTACTTATAACATTTAACTTCTTTAAAACATCTTCCATATGCTGCTGTTATCAAGGTACACAAGTACTTTTAACATTTAACTTCTTTAAAACATCTTGCATCTGCTGCTATTATCAAGGTATCCAAGTACTTATAACATTTAACTTCTTTAAATCATCTTTCATCTGCTGCTGTTATCAAGGTATCCAAGTACTTATAACATTTAACTTCTTTAAAACATCTTCCATATGCTGCTGTTATCAAGGTACACAAGTACTTTTAACATTTAACTTCTTTAAAATATCTTCCATCTGCTGCTGTTATCAAGGTATCCAAGTACTTATAACATTTAACTTCTTTAAAACATCTTCCATATGCTGCTGTTATCAAGGTATCCAAGTACTTATAACATTTAACTTCTTTAAAACATCTCCCATATGCTGCTGTTATCAAGGTATCCAAGTACTTTTAACATTTAACTTCTTTAAAACATCTTCCATATGCTGCTGTTATCAAGGTATCCAAGTACTTATAACATTTAACTTCTTTAAAACATCTTCCATCTGCTGCTGTTATCAAGGTAGACAAGTACTAATAACATTTAACTTCTTTAAAACATCTTCCATCTGCTGTTGACAGGAAACCCGAATACTTAAAGATGACCACTTACTCTGGTGTTTTTCCTTGGATCTTCAGGCGAAACTTGTGGTTTGTGCTTTTCTGGGTTTTGTGTTCTGTAGTGAGGAGGATACACACTTTCTGAAGAAACAAACAAAAATACTGACAGCAATGTTTTATGTTATGGATTTCTTCTTCTCCTTCTTCGCCTTAACGGTTGTAATCTTTGGCAGAAAGTCTTGATTGTTCTCTGGTACTGTTGCAGAACTTGAGTGTTGCATGCACATTCATTTTACAGATCCAGATTTTTTTTTTTTTAAACATATGCAGACTTTTGGTTCCTTGCCTATAAGGCAGAGGCACTCCAACTCTGAAGGACACGTTATTCCTATATCAGTTGGCCAGGCCCCAAGTTGAGGAACCTGACTCTAGGGCGACCAGAGAGAGAGAGAAAGAGAGAGAGGTGTAGGCAGGTCTTGACCAGTATCAGCCCTGGTTATGCAGCAACCCCAGTGTGGTTCAGCACTTCTGCATTCCATGTTGTGGATTTGAACCATGAGGACACACAAAAACCATCATCATGTAGCAGGTCTTTTACACAGCATCGCTACCATCTCTGCCTACCTGGAAGGTGATGAACCAACAGTCTGCATACAAACAAGCTAGACCTATAAAATGGATGTGCATGACAAACTTGAGTTTTGGAATGAGACCAAAGTTCAAAATTGGATGAGAAATCATAATTTTTCACAATCGTTTACAGCGGGTGAATGCAAAGAAGAAGATAAGTAAAAACAGCAGTACCAGAAAGGAGCAACAGTACATGAACCACCAGGCTCAAGACAAACATAATTACCAATACCATGTGACAAACACTACCAAATAAATGTTTATGTTCTTTCCTTACATTTCTGCGTCTTCTTTTTCACATTCACTGGCTGTAAACTCTTGCGGAAAGTTCTGGGTGTTCGTCCATCTCTGGACTTTTAGTCTTGTTCCAGAACCTTAGTGTTGCATGCATCTCTGTCACTGATCTGGCTAATCTGTATGCTTCTCAAGCAGATGTACTTTGACGTCAAAGGAAGCTTCCAATTAGTCGACTCTCATGACATCCTTGCTGAGGGAGGCAGCAGATCTTTTCGTGTTTTCCCCACACAGGGCCCCGGAACCTACACTGGAAACTGTGGAGATTATACCTGAACCTGACTTCTTATTTGTCACTTGTTTTCCATATCGGCACCCTATCACACTGGTCCGACCCATCCGTGCTCCATCCTCTGATGTAGCAGCCATCTTGGGGTCTCCATGCTCAGTCAGCTCTTTTATTTCTTTTCACTCCAGCATATCCTGGTGTGTACAGCCAAGACAGTTTCTTGAGTCGGGACCTCTGGATGCAGTCAACCCATTTTAATCAGATTTTGCCAGTCTGGATCTTCTTAAGCACACTCAATGAGTGCGTCACTATCAATGCATGAACTGCTTTCTGATATACCAGCCGTGCAAGTATACCTGTGACAGCTGCTGTCTCCATCAACATACTAGAAGTAGATGATCTAAATGCCCGATTATCTTCTTTTAATGCCTTCCCATTCACCTGTGCTGTGTATGCCCACCCAGACAGAACCCCATGAAACAATGGGTTGTCCATATAGATAAGTGACTCTCAATCTTCCTAATGCTGCGACCCTTTAATACAGTTCCTTCATGTAGAGGCGACCCACAAACAATTATTTTCCCTCATTAATTCAATGAATATGTGTTTTCTGATGGTCTTAGGCGACCCCTGTGAAAGGGTTGTTCCGACTCAAAAAAAGGTCATGACCTGCAGGTTGAGAGCCGCTGGTATAGATGAAAATGTCACATGGTTCAGTGTGCTCATGGCTGAGGACCCTTGTTTCAGCATCAGCGGCTGTTTAGCTCCATTCTTTGCAGTACATGCCCAGGGTGATTATTACCTCAGTGTGCTCTCGCATGCTTTCTGGCGCTTCGATCCATTCAGCGCCCAGCCTGGCATGTTCGATTAGACATATCTGGCTGAAGATGTCTTCTGCTTCTGCCATCCAGGACCACACCCTCTGTAGGCACCTACCTCTGTTTGCTCATACGCAGCTGTGCAGAGGATGTTTTATGTCAGCAGTAACACCCAGGAAGACACTGGCCTCGGCCATCTTGTATTTAGTGACCATGCCTGGCAGGTCAAGGATGTATTGCACAGTATCAATGAAATGTCACTTATGGACCTGAGGATCAGTCTCTTGCTTTATTTTGTAAAGAGAGAGAAGTAAAGATCCCTTTTTATGCCTAAGGCGCATCGGGTATATGGGCAGAGCGTCCCATATTTTTACAGACCAATCGGCACTGGATGAACAATGTGGTCAGCATTGCGCCGGCCGTCTTTACTTCCCCAGGACAGCCATCCTGGTACCCATTTTAGGCTGGGCCGACCTGCGATGTCCCATACTACGATAAAAATCCACGCAGCCAGCAGTGGGTTTCGATCGCGGTACGTTGGATTACGAGTCGGACTCAGTAACGCCTAAGCCACGGTCGCCACTTGTTTCATTTTGTACTTAAATGATACTTACATACAGGTAAAAGTCACATGGCTTACTGAGATCTCACTTTCAACAAATCCCCAGATTCTTATCTACAATCAGGATGGTTCTATGCAGCTGCTGAATCAATTCATGTCTGTCGTGAGTTCAGGGCAGATCCCCGTACCGAAGAAATGAATGGCCAAGGGTCACTAATGGAACAGCTGGTGTGTCGGAGCTCTTTTACTAGCAAGCTGGAACTACTAGAGTTTTGTAAAGGACCCTTTCTTGTGTCTTCAGGCGTACAGGGGAAATAGTGTTGGACCTTTTTTTTTTTTTAATAAATCAATTGGCACTCTGTTAGTAATGTGATCAACATCAGGCAGACCACTTTTACTTCCCATGTTACCTGGGACCCATTTAAGGCTGGGTCAACCTTGGAGCCAATGTCGTTATTTAAAAAGTCCGGCTCCATTCAGATTTGAACCCACAGCCTTTAAATCTACAGGCGAGCATTTTGCTGCTACACCATGGTGGCTGCCAGTACTACGGTGACTATAGTTAGTGTTCTTATTTAAAATATTAGTAAAAATTCAATCAATCCCGATCTTCACCTGGGCAACCGGGGGCATGATTGATATCCCATGCAGTAGAAAGAAGGGAAGGAGAAGAGGAAGAATTAGAAAGGGGTAAGTGCAGGATGTCTGACTCAACTGACTTTTATCGATCATCAAGCAACTTCGGTCTGCTAGTCCGTTGTTTCCTGTCCCTAGTATCTACTCTAACTCTACCAGTGCCCGTTTTCACTACTGCGAGCGAGTACCACCTACCTCTTGTTTTATTACACAAGACAAGACTAGAGTATAGTGTAGTCATAGTCTCCAGCCTACGCTACCGAATTACGTTTCTAGTTTCTTTAACTGTAATATACTAATGCTACTACTGTAACTGTAATCATAATCATAATCAAATAATACAATGTCTTGACCCTTTAAAACAAAGCAAAAACTAACCGTCAACGTTTGTCTTCGGAAGCTCTGACATGCCCAGTATTTGCAGCACAAAAGGGTGCACAAATCGTGGATACATAATGACACAACAAGATATCATCACTGTAACAGCGCATAGAACTCTAAACGTAGCCATCTTAGTTGTCTTGCTTGTCGTCAAATATACATTTCGGTCAATAAGACAGTATTAGGTCGATATCGTCGTTTTAGTCTCATTTTGAACTTCTCTCGTATAGATCTTTCCAGAGTGCTGTGATGATAATCCTTTCTAATCCATTATCACTAACTTCTCTCGTCAAAAAGCGTTTGGCAGAGTGGATAGAAACAAACTAGGGGATATTCTTGAGGATGCTATCTCCTCGCATATTTACAATAGACAGTGATAGCGTATCCAAAGAAGCCAGCTTTAAAGCAGTGGACTCAGAAATTCCAGAAAATGAGCAACTTTGCTTTTCAGAGGAAAAAGATCCCCACACAATACATAAGCTACTATTTGCCTGTTCTGCAACGAGGAGAGTAGACTGCAAGGCCATTCAAACAGGCTGTTTACCTGCAGAAGATATAACATGAAAATAAATACTACCAAAACTGAAGCTATGCATGTCAGCAGGTTTCCGAGTCCGCTACATGTCTCGTTGAATGAGACCTGTCTGAAGCTATTTACAGAATTTAAATATCTAGGAAGGAAAATTGGGTTCTCATTGTGGCAATAATCAACCCTGAAAATACACTTAATTGAAAATCGCCAAAGTTGTGTGACTTTGTCATAATCTGTAAACCTATTTTGGCACCGCAGGCTCGGCTAGTGATCAGTTTCCGTGGTAGTGCACAATTGTTAGGTTGCTGTGTGGTGATATTGAGTTTCAGTAAGTTGTTAATGCCATCTATCCATCTTCTTCTTGGCCTTCCTCTGCATCTCAATGTTTCTATTCTCATGTTGTATGTTCTTGCAGCTGATGACACTGGGTTTGTTATGACCAGGTGGCCAAATCATTTCGGTCTGTTTTTTTGATAAATCAAACTACAGGTGTTGTTCCCACCATTCTAATGATATCTTCGTTTCTTTTATGGTCTCCTCTTGTTATGTTCATCGCTTTTCTTAAACATTTCATTTCACACATCATTAGTTTCTGCTCTTGTTCTTTTGTTAGTGCCCAGGTTTGACAGTAGCAATACAATCTTGAAATTTATGATGTGTCCTTTACTTTCCATTGTTACTGCTGGGTGTTTCAGTATCGGGGAAAGCTGACAGGTAACACTGTTGGTGTTTTGGATTCTGGACTCATCTCTCTTTCCTGTCTCCCATCTGATTTGACTTAATGCCGATAAATTATGTTAGGCATGTGGGAAGAAGCATGGACAGAGCAGATATCATCAACGCTCTACATAAAGGGTTAGTGGATAATGACAAATCTCTGACGCTAACACAATTGTGTGACATGGGAGTAAAGCATTTGAAGCATGTTTATGCTGCCTTCGAGGTCGAGACAGGAGACAATATAACCAACTTCTCATGGAAACAGGGAGTCTCTGTGGCGGAGCGACTAGATGCTCGCCGCAGATCGGAAGGTCCTGGGTTCGCTCCCTGGCGGAGCCACTTTTTTCAAAAATGACTTTGGCTCCCAGGTCGACCCAGCCTTGAGTGGGTACCGGGTGCAGTCCCGGGAGGTAAAGGCGGCCGGCATGATGCTGACCACATCACCCATCTTGTGCCGACTGGTCTATAAAAATATAGGTCTAGCCCTATATGCCTAAAGGTGTGGAAAAGGGTCCTTTACCTTTACTTTTTTTTTTACTCATGGAAATAGTAGAAGTACCTTGGAGCAGCTGCTGCATCAGAGGACTGAGCAGGCATGGGAATCCCCAATGTGCAGTGACGTTGATTGTGATAACATAACATTATGTTAGGCTCATTTCTTAAAATGGGAGTCACCGTGGCAGAGCGGCTAGACATTCGCCTGCCGATCTGAAGGTCATGGGTTCGCTCCCTGGCGAAGCCAGACTTTTGTCAACAATGACCTTGGCTCCCAGATCGACCCAGCCTTGAGTGGGTACCGGGTGCAGTCGTGGGAAGTAAAGGTGGCCGACGTGATGCTGACCACATCACCCCATACCGACTGGTCTATAAATATATAGGTCTCGGCCTACATGCTCTATACACCTAGAGGTGTGGGAAATGGGACCTTTACTTACTTTACTTTTTACATTTCTTAAAATATCTGCAGAGGGACATTTAAAAAAACACACACACAAAAACCAAACAGATCAATAGAACAAATGTTTAATAGATTTATAATTATTATGTATGAATGCTCATGCCTAATGTTATAATTAAACATTTAAAAAAAACACACACACACACAAAGAAAACGGTGAGAACATGCAGCAAGTAAACAGATTTACAGCCTCCTGCAGTTGTTGACCCCAGCTTCACAGTCAAAATGCTAATACACATAACTGTACAGTAAACATATCTTCGTGCGTGACCCAGAAGGGTGCAATCCTAGGAGCAGATTAAATATGCAAGTTCTTTTTACATAAGACTAGGTCTATCTACATTTTGATTGCTACCTCGGCAGGGCATGTGCCCAGTCCATAAATAAATAATATTGTCTCAGTTTCTAGCTACAGATAATATTTTGAAATGGCAAGTTTCGCTGAAGGGGACAAAAAGGAGAGAAGGAGTGAAAGAGAGAGAGACTGACAGAAAGGAGACACATAATAATGTAGAAACAGAGACCAATCATTACACAGGGCATTGATGTACTTCAGTAGCAGCCACTGGGATCATATCTGTATAAAGAGTTAAAGTCGAAGCGATCGATTTTGTTGTATTGGGTTTTTTCCCATATGGCTCGATCACTCTTCACAGAATGGTTATCCGCCCGTCGAGAGTGTCGCACAGTGCACGAACTCCGTAGCTCCAGCAACAATCCCCAGGGGTCTCCGTAAAAATTGCATTCATGAACTGAACAATGCAGCCATGAATCGAACCCACGACCTTCAGAACGTGAGGAAAACAGCCTGACCACTTCACCTAAACAGTACTAGCAGATATTACAAACATCTACACAATGCACGCTCTACATGGGCAACCAACATTTGCATGTAATGTCTGCTCAGCGAGACTAAATACCCAATAGCATTTACTGAGTGCAACAATCGTGCAAGATGGTAAACTAGCACGGACAAAAATCTAAAATAATTTAATTTTTACTTTACATTTTCCAGAGCTCATTCACTCAATCAATCAGGCGCGCTCTTCACAATGAATGGCTGGCTGCAATGAATCTCCCACACTCTGCCTCTTGTATTGCTACTCTTAAACTGCTATTCGCCCATCTCTCAATGTAGTCCTCCTGCTTGTATCATTGTCTACCAATTGCTCTCTTGCCTTTGGCATTTCTCTCCAGTGTGGTTTTAAAAAGAGTATTATGTCTTTTATTGTAGCCGACATATTTAAATTGTCTTTTTTATATTTCTTTTGGTAACTCTTTTGATTGGCGGTCTCTCCAGGACATCTGTATCTGTGTGTCTATCTGCCTAATGTAAGGTAAAATAATCACACAGCAGGCACACTGCTGGGTTGCCAAAGTCACAACATAATTAAGTAAGGCTATCAGTTCCATTGCTCACAAGCTTCTCCCTCATGAAGACCAACACAGATCCAGTACACAAACTGTTGACCCTATAGCATACTAGTCACCAGGGGTTTTTTTGGGTACTACCAGCAGTATGCAGCCCTTATTTTTAGGCAATTACTTTTATCCAGCATTATTTGAATACACACACTGTGGTGAGTACCGGCACCTTTTTGGACACTTTTCTCTAGAAAAAAAAGCCCTTCTAGTTAAAAAAAAATAATCCTGCCTAAGTTAGGGTTTGAACTATGACCTGTGTTTGGCAAGCAAACATTCTACTACAATGAATATTCAACATGAAAATATATCGATCTAACGAGAGACAGAGCAATAACTGCCCCACCAAGGTAGCATGCTGAGAGAAAGCACTGAATTACGGACAGCAAAAACAAAAAAGCAATTTTTAAAAAAAACGTAACATTTAAAAACAAAGTCAATCTGCCATATACTTGTGCACCACAACACAATCTTTGACTCAGCCAAGTCAAATCACACAACTTCCTCTTCTGCACAAAAAGAAAACAAATACAGCACTGCAGCCTTGGATAAGTGCCATCAAATCCTTCAGACAATCCTCAGGCTAATGGGATCAAACCTCAGAACATTCACATCAGAGGGTGGTTACACTAATATCAGAGAGTGAAACACTCACAACAAATGGTAACACACTGACATCACATATACGCTCACATCAGGAGATGATTAGAACTGCATCTGGAGATAATTACGCTCACACCAGGAGATGATTACAATTGCATCTAGAGATAATTTATGCTCACATCAGGAGATGATTACAATTGCATCCAGATATAATTATGCTCACATCAGAGGTGGATATATTACATCTCCGCCATGCAGACTCCACAATGTAATTATCACCACCCAGACACAGCTGATCTAATTATGTGACAAGAAAAACTTCGTCCACACCACAGCATTTTTTTACTCTCAGACCGCAGGACCAACAATCCCCTGACTAAATTTAAAAAACAAAAACAAAAACCTGTACAAAAATATTTAAATGTGGACACAAACAATACATTGAACAATTCACTGCCCGTCAGATTTCGCTCTATCTTGTCAGGTGCATTACTACACACTTACATCAATGTATAATAAATCACAAAAATTAAACTTTTAACTGTCCAGTTAACTGTACAACCAATAAATGAAGCAACTGAATTATTTAAAGTTACAACAGGAAAACACTTCTGAGTGTCTAAAGCGTAACCTTCTGCAAGCAACAGTGAAGCGAGTATGCCTAGCATTAAACTGCAGTGTATTGTTTGTGTCCGCATTACTGAAATTTACAATAGATTTTAAAAAAAAAACATTTTTATGAATCACTGTACAAAACTGTAAAACATACATGACAAATGATGAAATGAAAGCATAAATGAAAAGGCAGAGTGTCCAAAGTCCACTCAAGGCACAGTATCAAGACATACAAGCTATTGTAGGCCCAGGAGCATACATGTCGTGCTTATTAATAACA